TATATATATATATATATATATATATATATATATATACATATTGCTATATTATTAAATTATTACATACCAATAACTGGAATGGAAAACTCCCATTATATAAGATAAAGAAAAAAAGAAAATAAACTTTGTTTTGCAGATTTACAGATTATTTACGATACAGATAATCAAGAAATGGCAGACGGCAATTTGTTTGACGCGCATACAGGTATCGCATATTTTAATATTTTAATTTTTTTTTAAAAGTTTAATATTTTTATTTTCAAATAACGAAAAATTTTTGTTTTCACTTTTTTTATGTTCTTCATTTAACTCGATTTGTTAATTCTACATGTGTCTTGACAGTTATGTCGTACTATTTTTTACGAGTTTCATATAATATCTTTGTATATTCTATTATTTATTATATTCTTTCCATTTTGTTCAAAATTTCTTATTTTTTGTTCAATATCTTGCATTTTATTAATTGTTCTATTTATTATTTACAGTAGAGCAGCTTGCGCCTATATCACATGCTGAAAATCAACAGAATGTAATACCCACTACCGACGAAATATCAAATGGACACAGATTTTTACGGAATAACTTCGCAAATAGTACGACTGCAGAGAGAATAAAACTTATGAGCCCTTTTTCTTTTCCAACTCGTTATAATTCGGAAATAATCGATATTTTTAATAAGAAAAATCACGCATTGTGGCACACTATGTACGTTTGGGCTGCGTTCGAAAACTTCACTCGAGTGCACATCAGCGTCGTCCTGTCTTTGTTCAATTTTTAGTAACAAAGATAGAACGACGCGGTATGCATCCGAGTAAAGTTTTTGGACGCAGCCCAAACGTACATAGTGGTGCCGCAACGCGTGATTTTTCTTATTATTTTGGAATCAACTTTTTCTTATTGAAAATATCGATGATTTCTGAATTATAACAAGTTGGAAAAGAAAAAGGGCTCGTAAGTCTTATTAGAAGGGTAAAATTCATCTGTAGTCGTACCATTTGCGAAGTTATTCCGTGAAAATCTGTGTCCATTTGATATTTAGTCGGTAGTGCGTATTACATCCTGTTGATTTTCAGCATGTGATATAGGCGCTGGCTGCTCCACTTGTATGTTTATAGCCTTGTATGTTTATACAAGCGCGTATTCATAAATTTTGTAAAATAACGGCACTCTCATTTAAGGCAAAGAACATCTATTAATGTATCATAATAATATGTATGTAAATATGTATTTATTTATTTATTTACTTATTTATTGTTTTAGTAGCTGCATCTGAAGACATTCGGACACTCCAGTCAGAATGCTGGACTAGCGGGTAGAGGGAGGAGGATTCGCGGCAGGTCTCCTATCCGTCGCGGACGACGCGGTAGACTTGCAAGTTCATCAAATCAAAATCAATTTCGAGAAGGTAAGAAACACGTTTTTATCATTCAATTTTATCGCTGATGCGATATAATGATGATATCTAATGTTTAATGTGTTATTTACAGAGACCGAATCGCGGTGCCGTTTTCCTCACTTCAAATGCGTGCAAGCGACCGAGCGCCGTGGGAAGAAGTACCGTCTACGTCGCCCCGGTCTGGCGGTGTAATGTAGCACCGTCGCGTAGAGTACAAAAATATTTCAATTTCAATAAAAAAAATATATATATATAATTATAAATATTTTTATACTATACACGACGTTGCCCTCTTTGTTACGTTACACCGGCTAGACCGACGCAGCGTAGACGATACTGCTTCTCACGAAGCTCGAGCGCTAGCCCACGATTGGAATAGGAAAAAACGGCACCGCGATCCGATCTCTAGTTGTTAAGCTAAAATCTCGTACCAAATAGCTTCCAGTAATAACCATGATGTCATTTTTCTAATCTGGTGTGTATTTATTGTGATTTTTTTTTTTATTATTTTAGAAACTGATGAGGAAGAAAACAGAAGAACGCAGGTACTAATCACACGTGTCGAATCTATTGGAAATGGAAACGAGAGAAGTGAGATTATAAATGAAGGTATGTGTGCATGTACACATGTTATTAATACTGTCTGTTTTTATATATTTTTTATTATTCATTATTATTGTTATTACAATTAGTATAATAATCTTTTTTAAGCCTTATGTCCACGATGCCAGAAATCGCTGCGAGATCTCGGACGCCGAAAGAATTGACCAATCACATTTAAACAATTTAGCCAACGCCATTGGTTAATTCTTTCTCTGCCCGAGATCTCAGAGTGATTTCTAGTGGGCACAATTAAGGCTTTATACTATCATTTATATGTAACATCTTTTGATGTAACATATTGTTCGAGAGCGCGCGGTAGCGCGAGGTAGCGCGCGGTAGAGGACGACCACAAAAGAAACGGAGAGGAACAGCAAGTACAGAAATACAAAGTTTAATGTTCAATATATATACAGTTATTTACACGAGTTTCCCTTTCAGGCAAAATTACCGAGAGCGCGCACAGAGTTTAGCTCGGCGAAAGCGGCGATATAGCAATTAATTGCGAAAAGCGGTGATGAGCGGTGAAGCAAAGCGGTTGTATAAGAATACTAGCGGTGATCTGCGAGCGAAATCGATTCCGCGGCGCAGCGGCGGTCCTTTTAACTCCTCCGAGGCGAAACTCCCTCTCTGCAGATTTCTCAGAATTTCGGGAGGGTGATTGGCCGTCGGAGTCTCGCGTCATGGAGCTGACGTCACCGTTTTCACGTGGTGACCCGACGGGGTCGTCGCCTGTTTTCGAGTGCTTTGTGTATAGCATGGATCGTTCCTTTGTTCTAGCGTTGTTGTTTGACTTTATTATTGATGACAATGTTAAAGTTTCGAGAAAGCTAATCCCGAAAGATCCATGCTATACCGAATATTTCCGTGACAATTTTGAACGGCATTTCACGCGAATATTAATTTACTGATTTTACTCAATTTACTGCAGGCGTGCATGTGCTGACATGCAGCCGAACGCGACTTCGTCGCGATGCTAAAGTTTACGATCTCAAACACATATACAATAAAGCTTCTACTGCAATAGAATATTCTGTTCCGATTTTATTATATACTTTTCACTTTTAATTAATTTCTTAAATTTAATTGACATTATCAGGAATGACAGTTACTGCCGATTTGATTCCGCTATTGGACGATGTTGGAAGAACAAATAGGATATCTCCACGTGGTCGCGGAAGGCATGTTAGACGCGGCCGCAACATGCAAAGAGGTAGAAAGGTTGTGTTTTTCTAATATTCGGTTCAGAGTGATTTGCATGAGTTATCAATTATTTATCTACTTAAAGTCACTTATTTATTAACGCAACTGATTTTGCGCAAACACTTTTCATTCTTTACAATGAACAATAATAGCGATACAAACATGTTTCGGTTTACGCTTAGATTTAAAAAGTTGATTCCAAAATAATAATAGAAATCATGAGTTGCGACATATTTGTATGTTTATACAAGCGCGTATTCATAAGTTTTATAAAATAACAGCACTCATTTGAGGCAAAAAAAATCCCTAATGTATCATCATAAATATATGGAAGGGTAAAAGTAGTCATAGCGGTGTAATTCAAAACTTCTAAAATATTGACTCGTGTGCATAGATGCAATTTATATATTGTACAGATTGCATATATGCACACGAGTCAATATCTCGAAAAATTTGGTTTACACCGCTATGGTTTTTACCTCTCCATATATAAATATATGTGTTCACTTGTATACTTACTTATTTATTATTTTAATAGCTGCATTTGAAGACATCCAGAGACTTAGTCAGAATGCTGGACAAGCGGGTAGAGGGAGGAGGAGTCGCGGCAGGCCTCCTAGCCGTCGCGGACGACGTGGTAGACTTGCAAGAAGACCACATCTAATTCGAGAAGGCAAGAAATAACTCGTTTTTATCATTTATCGCAGATGCGATAATGATGATATCTAATTGTTTAACGTATTATTTAGCTAAAAGAAAATCTCATACCATAAAGCTTCTAATAGTAGTGATGATGTCATTTCTCTAATCTGCTGCGTATTTATTGTGATTTTTTCATTATTTTAGAGACTGTGAATACTGATGAGGAAGAAAGAACGCAGGAACTAATCGCACATGTCGAACCTATTGAAAATGAGAGAAATGAGATTATAAATGAAGGTATGTATGCATGTACGCTGCGCGTCAATGATTTCTTCCCTGAGGTAAGAAGGGAACATAAAAGTCTAGGACGCTATTGGTTAGCTTCTATTAAAGTCACAAGAATTTTTATGTTCCCCCCTTACCTCAAGAAAGGAATCATTGACGCGCAGTATGTATACATGTTATTAACAGTGCATGGTTTTTTTCATATTTCTTATTTTTCATTATAATTGTTAATTATTATGATTATTAAAATTAATATAATAAACTTTCGTATATTGTTGTTCGAGAACGTAACATATTTTGATGTAACATATAGAATGACTACATTTACACGGCAGCTTGTAATCCGGTTTTATAACTAGCGTATACTACCGATCAAAAATTTATCTTCTTTCGATCGTAATGATCATTTTGATATGAGCTTGGGGAGAACACGATAACCGGGGCCCCTTGATTTGACTGTGGTTTCTGGTAGTATTTTTTACGCTGAACAAAAAATTATATAGATCTTATAGGGCTAACTGCTTTAGTTTTCGAGATATGCAGTATTAAAGTTCAAAATAAATATAACTTGGTAAATGTTTAGATTAAGGGCGACCTCACCGATTTCAATGACCTTGATATATGTTGTCAAAGTCACGACCCCGAGTGACCTTCAGAAGGTTTTAACCGTCGCTCGTTATTCATTAAAAAGTTATTAACAAAAAAAAGTTTTGAAAATATAGCAGCTATTTTGAGTATTGGAAAACATAATAACTAATATATATGTCGAAATTGTTCACGCATATACTTTCCACGCGAACCGAGGTTCACGCACACCCCCCCCGTGCTTTCGGGGGAGGTGCGGAAGTCCCGAAATAGTTCACGCATACACTTTCCACGCAAACCGAGGTTCACGCACACTCCCCCCCGTGCTTTCGGGGGAGGTGCGGTAGTCCCGAAATAGTTCACGCATATACTTTCCACGCGAGCCGAGGTTCACGCACACCCCCCCCGTGCTTTCGGGGGAGGTGCGGTAGTCCCGAAATAGTTCACGCATATACTTTCCACGCGAACCGAGGTTCACGCACACCCCCCCCGTGCTTTCGGGGGAGGTGCGGTAGTCCCGAAATAGTTCACGCATACACTTTCCACGCGAACCGAGGTTCACGCACACCCCCCGTGCTTTCGTGGGAGGTGCGGTAGTCCCGAAATAGTTCACTGCATATCTCGAAAACTAAAGCAGTTAGCCCTATAAGACCTATATAATTTTTTGTTCAGCGTAAAAAATACTACCAGAAACCACAGTCAAATCAAGGGGCCCCGGTTATCGTGTTCGTGCCCGATTTTCGATACTTAAACTACAACGTTTAATGATATCTAATTTTTTAATGTGTTATTAAACTAAAAGAAAATCTCATACCATAAAGTTTCTAATAGTAGTGATGATGTCATTTCTCTAATCTGCTGCGTATTTATTGTGATTTTTTCATTATTTTAGAGACTGTGAATACTGATGAAGAAGAAAGAACGCAGGAACTAATCGCACATATCGAACCTATTGGAAACGAGAGAAATGAGATTATAAATGAAGGCATGTGTGCATGTACGCTGCGCGTCAATGATTTCTTTTCTGAGGTAAGAAGGGAACATAAAAGTCTAGGACGCTATTGGTTACTTCTATTAAAATCACAAAAATTTTTATGTTCCCTTCTTACCTCATGAAAGGAATCATTGACGCGCAGTATGTTTACATGTTATTAACACTGTATGTTTTTTTTTATATTTCTTATTATTTATTATTGTTAATTATTATGTACTATATATATCAAAGCTTGTTTCAAATGTTTCGAGTATCAAAATAGGTTCATATTTAGATAATCGTTGTAATCAAAAGAAAAAAGGTTTTGTATCAGATAGTATACGGTAGTTACTGAATTGCATTAAAAGCCGCCGTGTAAACAGTCTATAGATCTTCTATTGCAATAGAATACGATATTATTTTTCTAGCCTAGTGTGTATTGATTGTGATTTATCATTATTTCAGAAACTGCAAGAATTGAAGAAATTAGAAGATCGGAGGACATGCTGCTCACAAGAGCAAACGAAATGATCGCAAGAATAGATGAAGAAAATAGAAGATCGGAGGACATGCTGCTCACAAGAGCAAACGAAATGATCGCAAGAATAGACTCTATTCTGTCTGAGAGTGAGAGAAATGGCATTGTAATGAATAACGAAGGTATGTGCGTATTTACATTTTGACTCATATTTCATTAATATTATTATTAGTTAAGTAATAAACTTTTTCTGTGTTGACAGATGAATGTATTTTTGATATACCGGAAGATGATTACGGTGCTCTTGGTTTCGACGATGAACAAAATGACTTTACCTTTTCATCCTGCTCCGTCAGGTCCGGTGTCCGCGTCAAACGAACGGGGTGCGTGTTGTACGTGCCGGAGTACACCTGCTACTCATGTATTTGTGCCGTGCGGACATCTATGTATTTGCAGTGATTGCAAGCAATGGTTTCTTGATTACAAATGTCTATTATGTCGGAAGGTTTACATGGATTGTATTCGTGTCATTACCACATAATATATTTATTAAAGTTATTACCAATCCCCGACATATATATATCTTTATCTTTTAGTATTTTGCTTCAAATAGTTCTTATTCTTACTTTTATTACTTAATTTTATTCTTAATGATTATTCTTAAATACATACTTTAATCGTCGTAGAGATTCGTTATTCGACGTCCCATTTGCGTTATATATTTCCTCAATTGTCCGAGCGCGAAATCTTTCTTCGGCATATACTGTCGACCTTTGTGCCCTTCGTCGTCACGAAGGATGTCGCTTATCGTCGCGCTACCTTCGATTCTGTTGATTCATTTTTGAGTCGCTCGTAAGTCGAAAAAATATTTCTGTAATATGTTAGTTCTAATAATTTTGTGTTTTTATTGTATTGTACTTATATTATATTAACCTTGTAGTTCTGCTGTGAATAATTTTTGATAATTTCAGATATTATATATACTACAGTAAAATTAATTGCAATAATTTTTTTTACCTAAGCCCCGGTCTGTGATTCGTTCTTATGTATCCTGTCTTTATTTATTCTCTTAAACAATCATAGCTTATAAAAAAATGACAGTGGACAAGATAAAGTTTGCGCTATTCGTATAAGAGCTCTAATTCTCTCTTTATCGTACACACGGGGATAACAAGTTGTGTGTGCCTAGCTAACTGAAATTTGCAGTTCTGATTTCCAGAGGGCTGCGTTCCAAAATTCACTTTAGTTAATTAAAATGCTACAGTA